CCTGGTCCCCCCAGGCTCACCGGGTACGTGGGCTTGGTGGTGATTTCCAGGAGCTTTTGCTTGGCTCTTCGCTCTGCCTCGCGGGCTTCCTGCAGGTCCTGCTTCAGCTGATCGGCCTCCTTGGCCCTGCAAGGGAAGGAGGAGCCGTCACCCCTGCAGAAGGTGAGGAAATGGGTCCCTTCCCCCCCTTTTCCCCTGGAGAGGAGGGACCGGGGCTCATCCCGAGGATGGCACCAGATCGGACAAACAAGGTGGAGGGTCGGGGGGACATTGACATGAACCCAGAACTTCCAAGCCAAGGACCCATTCCCGGGTACTGTTTACTTCAACTGGTGAATCTACGCGGGACGAGCGGGGAAGCCGTGGGGAGAAGAGTTGGGTACGAACCCGTGCAATTGTTGGAGGAGGAGGAGAGATGGGGAAGGGGCCGCAGACATTGTCTGCGCTGTCTCTGGGGGAGAGTGGGATGAGCACAGGGAGAATCCAGTGGATTCTCTGTGATCCTCTGGAGGTGAAAGAACGGACTCTTCTCAGCCGCCCCCCACCCCCGTCCCCCTGAAACTCATCTGCAGGCCAAGGGCCCACCTCCTCAGGCACCACCGCTGAGGGCCCCTCACTTTGGTGCAGGTCCTTGCCCTGCAGGACACAGGATCCAGCCCAGCATGCATCACGCATGGGGAGGCGACCCGGACACAGAGCAAGGGGCCCAGGACAGGGCAGAAAACAAGGAACCGTTGTCCCAGACCGACATGCAAAACGTGGAGAGGGCCCGGCCGGTGGCTCAGTGGCTGAGCATCGACCTAGGAACCAGGAGGTCACGGTTCGATTCCCGGTCAAGGGCACACGCCCGGGTTGCGGGGTGCATCCCCAGTGGGGGGCCTGCAGGAGGCAGCTGATGGATGGTTCTCTCTCATCATGGATGCTTCCATCTCTCTTTCCCTCTCCCTTCCTCTCTAAAATCAAAATATATATATATATATTTTTTAAAAGATGTTTCCATCTCTCTTTCCCTCTCCCTTCCTCTCTAAAATCAAAATACATATATATATATATTTTTTTAAAAAACACATTTTTTAAATGTAAGAAGAGCCTCCTCACATCTCCTCAGCTAAAGCAAGTCTCGGACACGCTCGACGGTTTCCCTGCAAACACGGTATCCGAGGGACCGGGCTCATCACAAAGGCACACGCATGACAGACGTCACTCAACGAGGAAACTGTGTGCCCGTGTCCCTTCCGGGAGCTCCGGCAGCACCGGCCTGGCCCCGAAGGAGCCTGTCCCCGCCCCGGACAGAGAAGCAGCCTGAGGTCAGCTGTGGTCAG